GAGAAAAAGAAGACAAAATTATGAGACCAAAATTAGGTATGGGGTTTTGGAAGTGTCCATTGTAAATGGGGTGGCGGCTGAAACCCAGCTTCACTCATTTACATGTAGGGTCAGCCCACGCAGACGGGAGACAGCCGTGCAGGTTTATAGGCGGGGGTCGAGAACGGGAAGTCAGAATAGACACGGTTTCAAAGGATAGAGCGTTAGGACTCCACACCCCTTAAGCTGTAGTCTTGGATGATTAGCAGCAGGAGTGAGAAAGGTGAAAGGTCGGAGCATCCGGAAACTCCACTTTCCAAAGCACACGGAGGAAATAGAGGCCGTGGCAGGTGGACAGGAGCCTTGTAATGTGACAAGACAAATGGTTGGAGAAGCAGAGATGCTGGGCAGAAGTGACTGATCAATATTTATGTCTTTATTTGGACTAACTAAATGTTCAGGAGGTACAGAGCGTTTATGGTGTTGCCAGTTTCTGGCATAGTTTTCTAGATCTAATCCATGCATACCCAAGCAGATACCTAGATATGCTTTTTTAAAAACACAGACAGTAGCCCACAGTACCCACTGTTCTGCTTCTTGAGCTTCCTACTCAACCGGACAGCTTGGCGATGGTTTCATTTCAGGGCACAAAGGGCATCCTCGTTATTTTTCATGGCAGCATAATATTTCATTGTAAAGCTCCGCCCTGATGGACTCACTTGTCCCCTACTGCTGCACGCTCAGCTCGTTCCCACTCTTTTGCTAAAACGCCACCTGTTACTGGGAATATCCTTCTAGAGACATCATTGTGCCCAAGTTTGAGTGTGGCCCTGGCCGGTGTGCTCAGTGGTTAGAGCATTGGCCCATGCACTAAAGGGTCATGGGTTCAATTCCCAGTCAAGGGCACATACCTGGGTTGCAGATAGGTTTGATCATCGTCCCTGGTCAGGGCACCTACAGGAGGCAACCAATCGATGTGTCTCTTTCACACTGATGTTTCTTTCTCTTTCCCTCTCCCCCCCATCCCTTCCACTCTCTCTAAACATTAGTGGAAAAAATTTCCTCAGGTAAGAATTAACCAAAAATAGGATATGTGCATTTGTCTCCTGGCCAGTGTAGCTCAGTTAGTTGGAGCATTGTCCCATATACCAAAAGGTCCTGGGCTCCATTCCCTGTCAGGGCACATACCCAGGTTGCAGAAAGCAGCTGATTTATGCTTCTCTCTCACATTGATGTTTCTCCCTCTCCCTTCCTTTCTCTCTAAAATCAATAAAAACATATCCTCAGGTGAGGATTAAAAATTTTTTAAGGCATATGCATTTGTAATTTTGATAGACATTGCCAAATTACCTCTCTCCAGCGGTGTGCAAGTGTTGCCCTCACACCCTAACAAAACATGTCAGGCACTGTTATCTCTGCTGATCTGATAGGTAAAAAGAGTGCCCCAGTGCGGCTGTGGCTGTGTTTATCTTCTTGGGAGTGAACTGGAATGTCTTTTCATTCAGAGCTGCTTCTATTTGCTTTGCTGGGCAGTCACCAGACCTGTCTGTTGGCCAGATTACTGCTGGGTCATTAGGTTTTTTTCTTATTGATTTTGAATCGCTGTTCATATATTAGAGAAATAAGCACTTAGCTTCGAGTTCCTTTTATTTCCCCCAGTGGTTCACTTCCTGAGACATTAACTTAGCAGGAATCGAGGGCATGTGTCATCCCCCCAGTTTCTCAGAGGGAAAAAATATTGTAACTGTAAGTAATATACAGGGTGGGGAAAAGTAGGTTTACAGTTGTGTGTATGGAAAATAATACAGTGATTGGTAAATAATAATACAAGAGTAAACTCTGGCATACTCACAACTGTAAACCTACTTTTGTCCCACCCTGTAACTTGCAACTATACATAAAAGTCGCTAAGTAAATTATGAAACTTCAGTGTTGGTTCATTTAACAAATAAATGTGGAGCACCTACTGGGCGCCAGGTGCTGTTTGAGGTACTGAGATTACAGCGGTGACCAAAACAGTCAAGGTCACGCTCTCCTGGGGATGGTGTACCAGTGAGGAAGATGCACCATGAGAGAGTAAACAGGAGAAATATCTATATACGTAAAAGGTTAAGTGTCTGTACATCCGACCAGTAGCTATGATGCGCACTGACCACCAGGGGTCAGACGCTCCACGCAGGAGCTGCCATGACGCTCACTGGCCATTAAAAAAACAAACACAAAACAGCACCACGGACCTGGAGCCAACAAACCAACACTCGGCTTCCTCCAAGTGGGACACAGGCCCCACCACCACCCCAGAGCGATACTTCACCAAATCGCAGCCAGTGCTGCCAAGATCCCATGGCGCAATATGTGGCCCACAGCCCAGCCCAGACACGGTCACTGTGGGTGCCGGGTAATGATGTCACGTAGCAACACCTGGCTTCCTCTCCCTAGCGACTAGCCTCCTTGGAGTTTCTTCAGCCCAGGAACCCGACTTGCTTTATAGCCAGGTGCAAACATTTTACAGTTTAACCAAATGTCTGTGAAGTGTTTTCCCGTGCCTCATCTCATTTGATCCTCACAGAAGTCCTGGAGTAGGTAGATAGGAGAGTCGGTGGAATCCTATTTTCTTTTCATTAGCCAGAAAACGAAGATTTAGAAAGTTTAGAGACTTGACCTGAAGTAAGAAGTAAGAAGTAAGAAATGGTGGACCTTGAAAATGACGCCAGGTTTTCTCACTGTGCAGAATATAGTCAAACATTGCTGCAGTTAAATATTTTACTCTTTGTTCTCCTTGTGTGATCTACAATAATAATCTGCTTCATGTTGATATTCACTGCTGTGTTGCTGACATTTACCTGGAAGAGAAGTTGGGGTGCTTCACTGGTCTGGAAAAAGTTTAGCTACATCAGAAAGCAGGTCTAATTAAGCAAGTTTATTCTATATCTATGAAAGGCTAAGTTGACTTACACATGTGTGATACATATAAAGCTCTCACTGGCGCCAATCGCACGCACATGTTTCGATCTGTCATTGTGGATCGTGAATTTGGTTGACACTTTTATTATAGAGAAAGGGCGAATAGTGATATTAAAATATTTCTTCTAATTAATTTCCTTTCAATGTGCACGAATCCGTGCACCTGGACTTCATTCTTGAGATAATGATAAGTCTTATGAGAGAGGTGAAGTAGAGGTGACCAAGGAAGATGTAGTGCTGGGCTGGTTTAGATTAAGTGGCCAAGGAGGGCCTCTCTGAAGAGATGACTTTGTGTTAGGACCTGAGTGACTAAGTGTAGGAACTAGAACTGCCCGGCAGAGGGGAGAGCACGTGTAAAGGCCCTGTGGTAGGAGCTGAGGTCAGGAAAACTAGCACAGGCCTCAGGAGAGGCCAGGGGAGGAACTCACTGGTGGTGGTGTGGGCTGCAAGAATCCATTGGACCGTTTGTGTGTGAGGGGATTTGCTTTTCCTTTTGGAAATGTCCAAACCTAAAAGCAGCGAGAATCGAGAAGGAACCACACACATCTTCACCCAGCTCAATAGCTACCAATATCTTGCCAATCTTCCTTCACCTTTACTCCTACTTTTTTGGTGGAGAGGCTAGATTTTTTTTTCCTTTCCCTCTTTCCTTGCCTCATTCTTTTCATTGAAGTTTAACAAATACCAAAAAGTGCACAGACCATAAGCATACAGCTCAGTGGCACTCACTCACTGAGCACGTCCATCTAACTAGCACCCAGATCTAGAAACGGATGATGGCAGCTCCCTGGGGTTCCTTCTAGTCTCTGCCTCCCAACATCTAACAGGCAAATGGAGCATAAAAGGAATCAGACAGGATGTTCTCTCCTCTGACCAGCTTCTTGCACGTATCACTACACTTGGGAAGTTTATGCTGCTGTGTGTCCCTGTAGGTGGCAGACTGCTCATTCTCACCGCTGTAGCGTTCCACAAGTCAGTTTATGTACCCCATCCACGCGTCTTCTGGGCACCTGGGCTGTCTTCCGGTTTGGGCTGCTTCAAATGGTTCTGCCATGAACATTCTAGCTCCTCTTTTGGTGAACACGTGTAGGCACTTGTGGTGGCTTATGCCCAGGCATGCAGTCGGCTTTAAAAATAGCGCCTGTATTCATTTGCTAGAGCTTCCGTAACGAAGAACCACAGGTTGGGTGTCTAGTTTTCCTGACCTCAACTCCTACCACAGGGCCTTTACACGTGCTTTCCCCTCTGCCAGGCAGTTCTGGGTCCTACACTCAGTCACTCAGGCTCTAACACAAGAGAAATGTATTCTCTTACCGTGCTGGAGGCTACAAGCCTGAAATCAAGGTGTTGGCAGGGCTGGTGCCTTCTGGGGGCTGGGCGGGAAGGGTCTGTCCCAGGCCTCTCTCCCTGGCTTGTAATGGCCATCTTCTCCCTGTGACTTCACATTGGCTCCCTCCTGCACAATCTGTCTCTGCATCCAATTTCCCCCTTTTCATATGGAAACTAGTCACAGGGGATTAGGGCCCACCCTGGTGACCTCATTTTAACTTGGTCATCTGCAAAGACCTATCTCTAAGTAAGGTCGCACTCTGGGGGTCGGGGGTGGGGATTCCAACATACCCTTTTGGGGGGAAACACAGTTCCCATGACAGTGCCAAAGAGTTTCCCAAAGTGGTCACATAGTCTCCTCGCCCACTATGTGCTGGAATATTTTAAAGTTTATTCCGGACTTGATACCATTTGTCTCGGGAGTGCTTTAAAAGGCCTTGGTGTGATTTACATTTTTAAACAATTCTATTTGTTCCATGGGCATGTGAGACAAGGTAAATATTTAATCAAGAAAGAAAAGATAAATAAAGAGTGGGCCCTCCTGGGACAGCCCAGGTAGGACACTCCGGAAGCCTGGGGTTGGGACAAACCTCCCAGGTGCTCTTAGCTCAGCGATGGCTGTGCTCCATCCTCACTGCCCGGTGCCAGGCCACCCTGTGCAGCATCCCTCGGGGCTCAGGTGTGGCAGGGGGACTCAGGCTGTCTTTCTGTCCACCCCCTCCCACCAGGACATACAGCAGCTTCTCCAGCTCCAGCAGCTGGTGCTTGTGCCGGGTCATCACCTCCAGCCCCCTGCTCAGTTCCTGCTGCCGCAGGCCCAGCAGAGTCAGCCAGGTAAGGCCCCAGCCTGGTGGCCTCCCCACTGCCCGCACAGAACTCCCCTCCCCCTCACCCTGTGTGTCCGCGCTTGTCTCCCCAGGCCTGCTACCGACGCCAAATCTATTCCAGCTACCTCAGCAAACCCAGGGAGCTCTTCTGACCTCCCAGCCCCGGGCCGGGCTGCCCACGCAGGTGAGTGTCCACCGAGTGTGCCCGGCTGGGCCAGCAGTGGACCGGCGGAAGGGAGGGTAAGGCGGGGGTGAGGGTCTCTTCCCCATTTAGCCTACTCCCCAGCCACAGGGGCCAGGACAGGAGCTGGGAGATGGGGAACCCAGCAGTGTTCTACCACTAATTTGCTGTGGAGCCTTAAGCAAATCGCTCTCGCTGTCTGGATCTCCCTCTGTAGCAGTGACTTTCAACCGGTGTGCCACAAGAATTTTTAAAACGTGCCATACCTGACTATTTAGTCAGGGGCACTGGCCTCTTTCCCCTTAGATTGTCAAAATAAAAAATGACAACAGCCAACACAACTTTAGCCGTCTAGTGTGAATGAATAAAAATTATACCTATTTTTTGTCAGATGGGTAAAAATATATTTTTTGGTGTACCGCAGAATTTTAGTAATTAGTTTATGTGTGCCATGAGATGAAAAAGGTTAAAAATCGTGGAATGAGGGGAGTCAACCAAATCAGTGGCTCTTAGCCCTTCAGGCACATGGACTCCTTTGAGAAGTCAATGGAAGATTCGATCCGACCCCACTACCCCTGAACGCACATGTGCACAAACACGGGAAACTTGGGAGGTTTGAAAGTTTTTGGGTTCAAATGCCTTGGGTCTCTTCCAGGACTCTAAATGGAAGGTTCTCTGAAGAGGGGTCTGCTGGGTACTAATTCACACCCACCTTTCAGATCAGACACTGAAAACCGGGGGCTCACAGATATGTGTTCTTTGGCCCACACCATATTGTAAAAATTGAATTAACTGACAAGAAAATTCCCAGTAAATGCCAGATTCCCAGCTTCTCTGGACAAACCGGAAGTTCTGGCAGAACTGATCTGTGTCCATGTGGCTTGGTGGCAGTTGGCCGCTGGTCACTGGCCGGAGCAGGGGTCCCCTCAAACAGGGAGCGAGCTCTCCAGGCCGCCTCGGCCTCCCCCTGCCTGGTCCCCATGGCCTTTCTTGGTTTGCTGCCTGGGTTCTAGACTTGCATAACGAATTGTTCACAATCCATTACAGATTTCAAAATTCCCTTCTACCCATTTTTGTAACAGTCCTTTCAAAGAATTATATGAACTATTTAGAAAACCCTTAAAGTTTAGGGACTAATAGAGGGCCTAGTGCAATTGTGAAATCCAGAAATGCTCGGAAAGTCAAGTTGTCTTGTAATGTGGGCACCCATGTCTTGTAATTTGGCTGCAAAACCTGTCTTGACCTGATCCAAGGCGAGGAGTGACTTTGCTTTATCCCTCCTGTGTGATTCGGGCTTTGCTGAGAATGTTAATGTGTCCGATTACGGGGCTGATGCCTGGACCCTGATGGGTGGCGTCACATCACCTAAGATATATGCTCCATGTAGGCTTTCTAAAATATGAGAAATTCCTGAATTCCAAAACAGATCTGGCCCCAGGGTTTTGGATAATGGATCAGGGACCTGTGTGACCAACTTCCCCGCAGCCACCGCCTGCTTCAGATCTTTTGTGTTTAGGGAAATACCATTTTTTTAACCAAGTTTTCCCAACAAGCCCATGCGGTGGGCAGGGCAGCTGTGATTGTCCCATCCTGCGGAGGGGGAAACTGAGTCCCCCAGCAATTCCGCAGCAGAGCCCCTGACTCCCCGTGGGAGAGGAGATTGAATCATGGCCCCCAGCTCCCGGGAAAGAGCCCTAGGCGCAAGAACCCGCCTGCTCCTCCGGGAGTTTGCAGCTGGGAGGGAATCGGCAGAGTTCCAGCAGCGAGAGGCCCCACGCGGGGCAGCAGGGCGTCGCCCTGAGGGAACTGACAGCCCAGTGGGGCCGGTGGAGGAGACCTGCGGGCAGGAGCTGGACGGCAGGGAGGGAGGGAGGGAGGACTGCGCAGCCATTGCTGAGCCCCATCCTGGTCCTCCGTCCTGCATCCCGCCCACCTGCCCACCCCACCAGGCCGTGACCCGCCCCACGCTGCCCGACCCGCACCTCTCGCACCCGCAGCCCCCCAAATGCTTGGAGCCACCCTCCCACCCCGAGGAGCCCAGTGACCTGGAGGAGCTGGAGCAGTTCGCCCGCACCTTCAAGCAACGCCGCATCAAGCTGGGCTTCACGCAGGTCTGGGGCCACCCGAACGGGCGGCGGGCGTGGGGGTGAGGGGCGGGCGGACCCCCGGTGCGCGGCGAGGACGCGCCCTCCAGGGCGGGGTGAGGGCGTGGCCAGCCGGTGGGCGGGGGGAGCCCAATACCAGGGGCCGGCTCTGACCGTCCCGCATCCCGCATCCCGACGGCCCAGGGTGACGTGGGCCTGGCCATGGGCAAGCTCTACGGCAACGACTTCAGCCAGACGACTATCTCCCGCTTCGAGGCCCTCAACCTGAGCTTCAAGAACATGTGCAAACTCAAGCCCCTCCTGGAGAAGTGGCTCAACGACGCAGGTGGGACCGGGGCTCCCAGGTGGGCGGCAGGCGCAGGGCCGGAGGGAGGCACCCCCTCATGCCCCCGTCTCCTCCCGGCACAGAGACTATGTCCGTAGACTCCAGCCTGCCCAGCCCCAACCAGCTGAGCAGCCCCAGCCTGGGTTTCGATGGGCTCCCAGGCCGGAGACGCAAGAAGAGGACCAGCATCGAGACAAACGTCCGCTTCGCCTTAGAGAAGAGTTTTCTAGCGGTGAGGCCGGGTCCTGGCGGCGCTGAGGGCGGCGGGTGGGAGAGGGGCCCGGGCTAATGAGCCCTCTGCCCGCAGAACCAGAAGCCTACCTCAGAGGAGATCCTGCTGATCGCGGAGCAGCTGCACATGGAGAAGGAAGTGATCCGCGTCTGGTTCTGCAACCGGCGCCAGAAGGAGAAACGCATCAACCCCTGCAGCGCGGCCCCCATGCTGCCCAGCCCCGGGAAGCCGGCCAGCTACAGCCCCCATCTGGTACCAGAGCCCTGGGGGCACAGTCTGCCACCTCCTTGCCCCGCAGCAGGCACCTGTGTGGAGCATCCCATGGGGGGAGCACTGTCACACAGGGACACAGAGTTTCCAGGGAACTGTGGTCTTATGTGGGGGACACAAGCACCCACACATACCAACATTGCCAGACAGTTATCACAGGACGTTGTCACACAGGGATAGAGACCAGGTAGGAGAGGCAGGCACCTCCCCACACAGGTTCACAACCACACAGACACAGGCGGACATTACAGCCCTGGGTGTGCACACAGGCCCGCTCAGGATCAGACACATTAGGACAGTGATGGCGAACCTATGACACGCGTGTCAGAGATGACACGCGAACTCATTTTTTTGGTTGATTTTTCTTTGTTAAATGGCATTTAAATATATAAAATAAATATCAAAAATATAAATCTTTGTTTTGCTATGGTTGCAAATATCAAAAAATTTCTATATGTGACACGGCACCAGAGTTAAGTTGGGGTTTTTCAAAATGCTGACACGCCGAGCTCAAAAGGTTCGCCATCACTGCGTTAGGACATCCCTTTGTTCCATCTAGTGTGGAAAGGGCTGTGACACTACAGAGAGGAGCAAGGGGTCGAGGAGCACCTCCCCCCATGAAGTGGAGGAAAGACGGACCATCGGAGCTAGTCATAAAGGACAAGAGAGAGCCAGCCACGTGAAGGACAGGCAAAGGGACTAGGCTACACAAAGGCCTGGAAGCCAGACTGTCAAGCCTAATTGGAGGAACTCTAGTACATTTAGTGTGTGGAGCTGGAATGTATTGAATGAGTAGGGGAGGGTAGGAGGAGGTAGGAGCCAGACACCCAAGTTACATGCTGAGGAGCTTGAACTTGAACTTGGGCAGTGCAGTGCTAAGGAGAGACAGGGTCACATTTAAAGTGAGGCTCCTGGGGCTGATGGAAGGATGAGATGAGGCAGGGAAGCCAAGGTGACTGGGGGATGTTCCCAGAAAATCAAGCCATTTGACTCTGATGCAGAGACACACACCCTCTACCCCGCCATCATCCCCCACTTCAGACTTGCAACTGCATAGTGTCAGAGGGTGGGCAGAGCCCTCAATTGGGAATTACTTGCTCCTGCTGGTGGCTCGGGATCACCTCGGGTACCAGTGGAGAAAGTGGAAAACACCTGGCACAATACCAATAGAGCGTTGTACCCAGAGCCCTTCACCATCCTGGGGGCAGAGGAGGAGGGGTCACACTCACAGAAGCACCACAGGGATTGGTGGAAGACAGTGGCCTGACCATACCTTCTCTTCTCTCTCCCCAGGTCACACCCCAAGGGAGTGCTGGGACCTTGCCGATGTCCCAAGCTTCCAGCAGTCTGAGCACAACAGGTCAGGGAGGGCAGAAGATGGTAGGGGTGGGGTGGGGGGGAAGAACACAATGCAGGCCTGAGTCCAAGGGTTGCAAGTGGCTCAGGGTGTCCATGGGCCTCAAGGCTGAGCCTGGGGATGAGGGGACAGGGGGGACAGATGGGAGAGGGCAGACTCCCCCCTCCTGGCCAGAGAAAAGCATCGGGTTGCTGAAAGGTGATGTACTTGGGTTCTGTTCCTGGCATTTATAAACTGTGCGAGCTCCAGAAGTGACTTTACCTCTCTGGGCCTCAGTTTTTATAAAATTATTGCGAATGTATAATACATGCATATATACATACAAATGTCACACACACACTTTTTTTTTTACTTTAGAGAAGAAGGAGGAAGGAGAGAGAACTAGAAACATTAATGATGAGAGAGAATCACTGATAGACTGCCTCCTGCACACCCCCTACTGGGGATCCAGCCTGCAACCCAGGCATGTACCCAGACTGGGAATTGAACCATGACCTTCTGATTCATGGGTCGACGCTCAACCACTGAGCCACACCAGCCAGGCCACACACACTCTTTTGTACAAAGCCTTCCTTTCCTGGGACACAGCATCATATACATAAGAGTACCATTTTAAAAAACCCACCATATTGCCCCTTTCCAAGTTAAAAAAATAATAAGTGGAGGTTTATAAAAGTAGTAAGGGTGTGCCTGGAACTGTTCTAAATGCTTTATAGAGAATATTGACTCATTTCATCCTCACACCCACTTTGTCATCCCATTTTCCTGATGAGAGAACTGAAGGCCAGAGAGGTGAAGGTGCTTGCTCAAGGGCACAGGTGAGACACGACAGAGCCAGGAGCTGCTGCCCTGGCTGTCTGGCCTGAGTGGGCTCGGAGCCCTCTCAACCTGCCAATTCCTGAGCCGAAAGCTGGTGCCCAGCTGCACCCCTCATGCATGCCTGGCTCCTAGAGGGATCCTTAGGGCTTCTGGGAGCTCCCAGATCTTATCTGTATAAAAGGAGCCTTGGGATGAGGTTCAGGGCAGGGTACTGGGCTTGGGCTCAGTGAGTGACAGCTGCTCTTACTTCGATGACTGTGATTGCTGTCACCATGGCAGAGGCACGAAGAAATGGCCCTGGGAAGAGAGGGCAGGAGGCCTGAGTCAGCTCTGATTGAGGAGATGCTGGGAGACTGAGGCTGGAGGAGGCAGGCAGGAGGTGACCCAGCCTCCTGGGTAGAGGACCAGCAGAAGCTGAAGTCTCCCTCTCTCTGTCTCTCTCTGGCAGTTACTACCTTATCCTCAGCTGTGGGGACGCTCCACCCCAGCCGGACAGCCGGAGGGGGTGGGGGCGGGGGCGGGGCTGCGCCCCCCCTGAATTCCATTCCTTCTGTCACTCCCCCACCCCCGGCCACCACCAACAGCACAAATCCCAGCCCTCAAGGCAGCCACTCGGCTATCGGCTTGTCGGGCCTGAACCCCAGCGCGGGGTAAGTGGGCAGTTGGGGAGACTGTGGGGAGAAGCAGGGTTGCTGCTGCTTCCTGGGTGGGGAGCCGAGCCCCAGTTCTGCGGGACCCGCCCCTGCTAATGCCTCTGCTTTGCCTCTTGCAGAAGCACAATGGTGGGGTTGAGCTCCGGGCTGAGTCCAGCCCTCATGAGCAACAACCCTTTGGCTACTATCCAAGGTGCGTGCTGCCTCATGTCACTCCCATGGTCACCAGCCCTGCCCTCACGGGCCTCGAGCCCCTCCATTGCTGCTCCAGCCATGCCATCTGCCCCTGCTCACTGCATTGCTCACCTCTTCATACCCATCTCACCTTTGGGGAAGGTGTGAGGGCTGCTCATGGGGGTCATTGGGGCTGATGGGAAGACAGGGGGCACTGTGGGCAGGATGCTGGAAGGTGCCCCCAGCCCAGCCTCTCTCTCTCCCTGCCAGCCCTGGCCTCTGGTGGAACCCTGCCCCTTACCAGCCTTGACGGCAGCGGGAACCTGGTGCTGGGGGCAGCTGGTGCGGCCCCGGGGAGCCCTGGCCTGGTGACCTCACCGCTCTTCTTGAACCACGCTGGGCTGCCCCTGCTCAGCGCCCCGCCTGGCGTGGGCCTGGTCTCTGCAGCCGCTGCAGCTGTGGCAGCCTCCATCTCCAGCAAGTCTCCGGGTCTCTCCTCTTCCTCCTCCTCCTCCTCCTCTTCCTCCTCCTCCTCGTCCTCCTCCTCCACTTGCAGTGAGGCCACAGCACAGACCCCTGGAGGCCCAGGGGGGCCGGAGGCAGGGTCCAAGCCCGAGTGAGGGCCCACCATGCCTCCCCTCCTACTCCTCTGACCCCCACTTTGGTCCCCGTCTAGAAGACAGCGAGGAGGCCAGCGATGGGAGTGTAGGAGGGCCTTGGAGCAGGAGTGATAAGGGAGAAAAGACCAAAAAAATCTAACAACCAAAAAAAAAAAAAAAAAGAAAGAAAGAAAGAAGAGAAACCAACAAAAAAGAAAACCAAAAATAATCACAACAGAAACCAGCTGCCCCAAAGGAACCAGAGGTGAAAAACAAACAAAAACCAAAAACAGACCAACCCCCCCCCCCCAACCCCCCCAACCAAACAAACCAAAAACCAGTTGCAAGCCAGACCTCAGTGTGCTCATCCTCACAGCTAGGACACCAAATAAGAACCCCAGCCAGGGGCCTAGAAGCCTGAGGGCGGACCTCACCCTGAGCCCCTGGCTGTGGGGCCAACCTGCAACCTTGCCTCCCCAGCAGGGGGCCAAAGAAGGAAAAAGAGAACGTGCCAGCCTCCTAGCCCCAGCCCCCAGCCCTGGGCCAGTGAAGATGGCACAGCCTGGGCCAGAGGGGTGGGGCTCAGCACCACCACCAAATGTTCTTTTCCGAAAGGTGACAGAGAAAGGGCCTGAACAACCTTACACCAAATATTCAGTAGCTTCATCCAAAGGATGTACAGAATTTTTAGCGTTGTGTTCAACAGAATGTGTCCCCACCATGCGTCCTTCCCCTCCCCCCAGCTCTCCCCACCCAGGCAGGGGGTCTGCTTTAACCTCCTCCCTCCCCACCCCCCCGCCAGTGGAGAGTGCGGGGGAAGGCCTGGGATGACTTTTCACCCCTGTACTTCCCCCTTTTCCCTTTGAAGGGTGGGCTAGGCCATTTTTGCTAAGTTCTAGCTCTCACATGTCCCCCCTCACCAGGTCACCCTCCTGTGCTCTGGGACCTCCCCCCTCCCTGGCCTATGGGGAGGTGGAAGTTCCAGGCAAGAGGGAACGAGGTGAGGGCATCCAAGTTGTCTTTCTTTCCATCCTTGTCTGTCAGTTTCCCTGAAAAAAAAAATCATATTCCAGTGCCTATCCGTGGAATCCTTCACGTTCTTTGACATTGACCAGAAACCAAAAAGAGAACTCACTTCATTCCCTCCCACTCCCCCGTGCCCCTCTGATACTGGCAGATGCCTCTTCCTCTCCCTGACAAATGCAGACACGCACTCACCCCAGTGGTGGGGTTCCTCGAGATGGCATCCCCATCAGGGTCCATGTGGCAGGGACAGTGCCATGACCTGTGGTCCCCATCTGAGAGGGCACTGTGGTAGCCACTGCTCCTATGAGACCTCCCTCTAGTCTTGGCTGGACCCTGTGTTTGCTCAGCACCGGACACATCTCCACGTTGACAGACAGAGGAGACACCACTGGGAGCCACTTTGCCCCCTGCTATTGTGGAGGCCAACAAAGTTTTGAACCAAAAACAAAAAACCAAACAAACAATAAATTAAAACTAGAAAAAAGAATTTATATATATATTTAAGGGAAAGAAGAAGAGAGCTCTTCAAGAATAAGAAGGAGCCGAGAGGCGGAGCCAAGCCCTGTCCAGGCCCTTGGTCCCCAAGGCGGATGGAAGGACAGATGCTTCTTTCTCTTCACAAATACCTCATGGACGTCGTCTTCGGGAAAGCCGGAGGGGGGCGGCTGGGGCAGGCCTGTCCCTCAGCCAGGGCAGATGGAAGTGGGTGGGCAGGGCTGAGAGAGGGTGCCAGGGACTGGGGTGAAGAGCCCCATACTCCCTGCCCCACCCCAATCAACTGAAAAAGCTTTAGAAAAACAACAACAGGAAAAAAGGAATAAGAAGACAAAAAGAATGGATGAAGGAAAACTAACACACTTTCGGGTGGTTTGATTCCTCCTTTGATTTCTTTTTCTATTCCATCTGTCCCCTCTCCTCTGTAACTTTTCTCTCTGCTTCTCTCTCTCTCTCTCTCTCTCTCTCTCTCTCTCTCTCTCTCCTCTCTCTCTCTCTTCTCTCTCTCTCTCTCCTCTCTCCTCTCTCTCTTTCTCTTCTCTCTCTCTCATTCACTACCCTCTCTCTTCCTTCTTCTCTCATCTCTCTCAATCTCGTTCTTTCTGTGTCTCTCCTCAAACCAAAGTGTTGCTGTGAAGGACGAGAGCCATGGAAATCAGCGTGGCCCTGCCCCTTGCTGGGCCGAGCAGAGCAGAGGGAGGGGGAGCCCCGAGACAGTGCTGCTGGACACTGAGGAGAGGCAGAGCCTCGGATGCCACTCTGGGCCCTGAGGCCTCCATGTTCTTTTTCTCTTGTCTCCCTTCTCCCACCCGGGAAATGAAACTGTTGGGCTGGGCCACAGAGGCAGCAGAGACTCAGCTGTTTCGGGGGTTTGGGGTGCCCTGTCTGGTAGCAGTGGAGTGGCTGCCCCTCGGACCCTGGCACCCATGATGGGGCCTGGCATGCCATCAGCCAGCCTCGCCGGAATGTAAGAATCTCTGCTGAACCGACTCCCTGCCCTCACCCTACCTCTGAGTTTGTCCATTTTTATTTCCTGAAGAGAAGAGACTATTGAGAGGGCCTGGGCAGACAATAAGGACATTTGAGCAGAGCAAAGTTAAAGGAATTACAACCAAAAACCCCTCCGAGAAGACAGGCAGCATGGAAGGCATGGTGGAGATGACTCAAACAAAAACTATGATTTCAGACCAAAAAAAGAAAAAAAGAAAAAAAAGAAAGAAAAAAAGAATAAAATGTGGAAAAAAAGAGAAAAAAATCCAGGACTCACCACCACCCACTTCATCCTGCTTCCTCCCCATCAAGTCCTGCCACCTGGGACCTCTCCCCAACCCCAGTGTGGGGGGAGTGGGGCAGACAGCAGAGGAGGAAGTAGGGAGCAGGGATAGGGCCAATGATGCCCTGACACTGGTGGAGGGACCCCCCCATGCAGCTGGGGGGTGGTGGGGACCCTCCCCATACAACCCCTATAACTGGGAAAAGAAAAACAAGAATAAAAGAAAATTCCTGGGAGGGGGAAAAATAACCAAATCCCAAGCTTTAACTACAGCTGTGAAACCAAATATTGGGAAGGGGATGGGAGGGAGGGAGGGGCAAGTGTGCCCCAGGTCTCCCCCCTGGGCCCCCTCCCCCGAGGACTCGAGATAAGGCACCAAATACCTCATAGAACTTTAATGTTAAAAAAAGGAAACCAAATATCGTTGGCTGGGGGCCAGCCAGGGCAAGGGGCTGGGGGGCAGAAGGGAGCCAGGGTTGGGAAGGTGATGGGGGAATTTGTGCCCCCCACTCCCCTCTTGCCCTTTCCACTCCAGTCCCCCGGCTGAACTCCGGGAAACAAAACTATCTCATCGTTTTTATTTTGTGGTCTGTACAGAGCCTGTGTCCGTGTGTCTGTGTGAGCGAGAGATTTGGGGGGTTGGGGAACATTATATGGGGGTTGGGGAGGGAAACCCCAGACCAGGCTCTGGGCTAGGTGTGATGTCTGAGGTGAGGGGCCAGGGGTCTGGGCTAGAAAGAGAGGAAGATGAATGGATTGGAGAAATGGGGCATGGGGCACCCTCTGGATTCCTCTTCTCCCCAACCATGACCTCCTGCTTGAGGAAGGGACAGAGACTGGGTCTACCTTGATGGTGGACCTTTGAATTGTGCCAAAAAAAAAAAAAAAAAAATGCCAGTAACTAAAACACCGGTCTCTGTTGTCTCCTGGGAGTGAGGGGTGGTGTAAGTGGGGATGAGTGGAGATTGGGAACTCTGGCTCCTGTATGAGTTGGGACTAAGATCAGGAGGAAGGGGAAGGATATATTTCCCACTCATCTATTTCTCTGGGGAGGACCAAGAGAGAGGGTCTCCAAGCCCCACATCCAAGCCATGTAGCGCGGGTGACCTCCTGACATGACTAGATTTCCTCACCCACCCAGATCCCAGGTGCCTCTCTCCCATTTAGCCCAGGGTAGGGGGAACTGAGTGAGAGAGAGAGTGAGACGGACTGAGCAAGATTGAGACACGCGGGCCCCCCACTGGCCTCTGAGTGGGAAAGGCAAGTGCGAGAAATAAAGGCCTCCAAGAGAAAAAAAGAAACAAACCAAAGATTTAACCATTAAAAAAAACACACACAAAAAAACCCACAGACAACTCCGCTACCTTTTTATACGTTGGAAAAAAAGTGAAAAAATTTAAAATTAAAAAAATACACAAAACAAGCCGCAGTTCCTTCGTGCGGTTTGAACTTTGACCTCAGCAGTCTCCAAAGCAAGATGACGATGACAAAGGCGAAACAAAAAAGAAAAAGAAAAAATAATGTATATTTTTAAGTATTTGTCCTTGAGATGTTAGCTCCTTGTTAAACACAAAAAGGAGAGAAAAATCCAGACAGAAGTGTTGCTGGGACGGAGACAACTATTTACTATGTCTGTGACCCCTCCTCTCTGCCTCCCCCTTCCTCTCCCCTCCTCTTTCCTCTGTCCCTGCTGCCCCTCCCCCATCCTGTCCTCCAAGCCCAGGGGCTCAGTATTTATTTATTTATATAATTGCAGGGTGACTGGGGGCCTCTCTCAACAACTGTAGAGAAGGCCTTTGGATCATGGTGGGTAGGGAAGGGGCAAGGAGTCTTTGGGGGAAAGCAGGGGCCTGATCTTTGATCAACTCCTCTCTGCTGGCTCCTTCCAGGCTTCTTATCCCACTGCTGCCACCACTACCTCCCAAATCCAAGGCTGCACTAGGGCAAGGTGATCCCCCACCATGTAAAGATCTGGTTGGCTCAGCCCTTGCTGGGTGGGTGTCTTTCACCTAGTCATTTGAATGACTGGGTGGAATGGGGATGGGAGGAGGTGGCAACAAGTGGGCATAGGAGACCAAGAAGTGGCTTCTGGAAATTGACTAGGCCCTGGAGACCTTCTCCATTCTCACCAAGTTAGCCCCCCCTTTCAGTTCTGTCTGACCCCTGTGTTGGTAGCCCTTCCCTTCCCATCCTGCACCCCCTTCCTGTCTCTTCTCGTGGTAGCGGGTTAGCGTTTCAGTGTTCTTAACTCCAATCTGCTTGTTCATTGTACAATGTGCTTCTTTTAAGGCCCCATTTTTGTAACTTGAGTGTGTCATTCATCTGAACAACATCAAAAAATAAAAAATTAAAAACTGTACAGAGAGAAATGCTGCCGGCTCTCCCTTGGTCTCCTCTCTTTCCTGGGAAGGTTGGTGGGAGAAGTCAGGGTATGGGGTGGGTATGTGCGCGCTGGGGAGGGGCAGGCTTTACTTCTGTTTAGGTAAACATTCACTCAGAAGGAAGGTCTGGCGTGGCTGTTGGTTGGATCGCTGTCCTGCAAAAAGTGGAAAGGTGGCGGGTTAAATTCCCAGCCAAGGTCAGGGCACATACCCAGGTTGTGGGTTCAATCCCCAGTCAGGGCCCTTATTGGAGGCAACCTGTCGATGATGACATCAATTTTTTTTCTCTCCCCCTTCCTCTAAATATCAATGAAAAGCATATCCTCGGGTGAGAATTTAAAAAAAAGAAGTTTGTTTTTTGTTTTTTTGTTTTTTTTTGCCAATCAGGAAACAAAAGTTTGAAACTTAGGATGAATTCAAATTCCTGAATTCAAATCTCAGTTCTGCCATTTTATAGATATGTGATCTTTGATATGTAACCTTCAATGTCCTCATCTGTAACAGGGACAATACCTATTCTGGGGTTGGTAAGAATTAAATGATGCAGATTTCAAGCACATTGTCTTTAATAAATGAGAACCACACACACACAAAAAAAAACAGGAAACCAGTATTTCCCCACTTCCATCCCCAGAGGACTAACAAAATCCTTTAAAAACTGAGTTGGGCCCTAGCTGGTTTGGCTGAGTGGATAGAGCGTCGGCCTGCTGACTGAAGGGTCCCAGGTTTGATTCCAGTCAAGGGCATGTACCTTGGTTGCAGGTTCCCTGGCCCTGGTCAGGGTGCGTGCAGGAGGCAACCAATCGATGTGTCTCTTTCACATCGATGTTTCTCTCTCTCTCTTCCTCTCCCTTCTACTCTCTCTAAAAAACCAATGGAAAAATATCCTCAGGTGAGGATTCACAAAAAACAATGAAAAAAAATCTGAGTTGGCCCAGCTTGTGTGGCTCAGTGGTTGAGCATTAACCTCAGGAAGTCGAGGTTCAATTCCCAGTGAGGGCACATGCCCCGGTTGCATGCTCAATCACATGTGGAACAGCCAATCAATGATTCTTTCTCATCATTGATATTTCTACCTCCCTCTCTTCCTCTCTGAAATCAGTAAAAATATTAAAAATATACATTTAAAACAAAAAATGAGTTGACTTGAAATTGGTGAAACAAAGTACATACCCTTTTTTTTTTTTCAGCACTACACTCAAATTTTTGTGCCCATACTAAATCATTTGAAAGTAACAACAGCTTTCAGGGTAGTCCAGGGACTGATCACTAAGACTTCACCACTGAAAACCAGGAACGGTATCACAGCTGGGTTTTCTCACTGCCATCAGGTCTCCTTGTCACTGTTTCATCCTCTGATGTATGGCACTCAGGTGTTGGGATTCTGCAAATTCAATAGTGAGGGATGGGGAAGAGGAGAAAGGAAGAGTGGGAGGGTTTCGATCACTCAGATTTAAAAAGTATCAGCACTGCATTGTTTTGGCAAGATTGAGAGACAAGTCAGTAGGGATAGGGGAATGGGATGTTGGAATGGAGATTCAGAATACTCTGAGGATGCCTGCAAGGTGGTATGGTCAGAACCATACAGACCCAAAAGTTCCTTGTCACTCAGGTCATCAATCCTGTGACAAGCAGACACCACACCTGAGAGCACTCTGGAGCTGAACTAGCAACTACCTGTAGCCCCATGAATGTGCTTAATCACTCCACATGCCTTCTCCTGTACAGTCATACTTGGGCCTCCTCTTGTCGAGAACACATTGGGCACTAGAGGACCGCTATTCTGTCCCCTTAACAGTTCTGCTTATTAGCTTCCATATCCAACTATAAATTGGCAATACAAAGCTATTAGAGGGGTCTGCAAGTCACCTGCATCAGAACTGTTGTGTTCAGAACGTGGATTCCAAGGTCACACACATACATGCTTGCTGGATCCAAAGCTCTGGGGGAACCTTTGCCTGTCCAACTCAATCCCCAGCATCCAACAAGGGTTTGATTAGTGCCACCTTTTCTGACAGTGGTTAATTGAGGACTGTGGAAATTTCAGCAGGGTGATGGTAAATGATGAGTCTTGTTCATAAACCTGTTTGCACACATAACTTTTCCTCGGGGGGGGGGGGGGTGTGTGTCCAAAATTTCCTAAAAAGGAACCACGATAGAGGCAGGGTGGTCACCCACTGTCACAGAGCCTCCTTTCTCTGCTCAAAACATCTTTATCTTAGGGTCAACCACACCTTGAGTTTTTCAGCCTGATGTTTAGCTGGGTTTGCAAGCACAAATCCTGATTGTTCTCAGTACTGATTTGATATGACTGTCAGGATAGGATGTTACAGGTTTTTGTGAGAAGAGGCAGTTTAAGGACGAATCTTTACCTGGTGATTAAGGCAGGGGGCATGCCGGGCTGACTTGGCTGGAATCCTTTCTGCAGGGTATAAAGTTACTGAAAGAGGTGCCTAGGATTAACACTCTGTGAAAACTGCTCCACAGATCACCTGCTCTTCATTAGGAGCTGTCAAGATACCAAATGGGTGAGTGATTTTTCTTTTTTAAAATGATTACAATAAGCATAATGTAGCAAAACCTACTAATGGTGTTAGACCTGGTTTCTAGCCTGGCCCAACCACTTGTGTGGCCTTGGGTCTCTTCCATCACTGAGCCCTCATTTTCTCCCCAGAGCCACAAGCTAACCCAGTCTGTCTTAAAGCCCCAGTGCCTAGAGGGGAACAGGACTGCTGAAGGGAGTCCAGAGTAATGTGGAAGCCCAAGTGGTCATCAGAGACTGAGTGGGCAGCTCTTGGGCCTCCCTTTTCCCTGGTTTCAGTACAAACAGCTTCCCTCTTATTTCTCGTTTTTTAGTGTTCCAAATAAGAATTCTAATAAAAAGGCTGGAGTAATCTTTGAAGTTCGGGGGGGGGGGGGGGGGGGAGGCACTTGTTTTCCTTGGGATTTGCCTCTTAAAAACAAGACTGCATTGTAACTGAGCATTCCCACTGGCCACACACTCACCATCTCCTTTGCCCACCCCCACCCCCCAAGTATGTAGAAGGCAGCAGAGTATAAAGCATATGGTGATTCAACCAAATGAAATTAAACTTTAATTCAAGTTCTGCCCTTGATTAATTCTCTGGGTTAAATGATCTTGGGCAAGTCACCTCCCTTGCCCAAGGATTCCTTCCCTGCATAATGTTTTCCTCACAGGATCAGTCTGAAAATTATTCCAAACAGCCCTGGCCGGTGTAGCTCAGCTGGTTGGAGCACCATCCCGTACACCAAAAGGTTGTGGATTTGATCGCTGGTGGGGCGCATACGGGAGGCAACCGATGTTTCTCTCTCTGAAATCAGTAAAAACATATCCTTGTGTGAGGATTAAAAAAAATTATTCCAAAAAATGTAGGGTAGTACTTGAGACAAACTATTCAAACATCAGTCAGCCACACCACCCATTCCTCTTCCAACAGACACCTATTAGCTGAGTCAGACTCCAACTTCAGGTGGGTATCAAGTCACCTCTTCTGAAGCTTCCTCCCCCAGCCAACCCTTAGAATCTTCAAGTCCACAGCTGGGTCTGGTCCTAGGAGCCACCCTCCCCTACTGCCGGGAATATCATGCCTTTTCCAGACTTGCATATGCCCATAGGGATCCAGTGAGAAAATAGATGGCCCCGGGGAAGCCAACTCACATCAGGCCAGGAAGTGGGAAACAGCAGTGGTGAGAATCTGATTTCCCCAAATATTCCTACCATCAGTAAAAACAGCTTCAGGCTTTTCTACAGAACTGTGGGGACCTCTAGTGTCAAGAGCACCATGCTGCCTCCATCTAGAACCAGAGTGAAGTTCTACTCCCCAGATGCCATACCATAACCTTGGAATTCAGGTCCTCTTCAATTTAGCAAATATTTACTGAGCTCCTACTACTAGCCAGGCCATTCTAGATGCTGGGAACACAGCCATGAAAAGTATCTGGGCTCATGGTTCCCAAGTTCCACCCCGCACAGCCAAAAGCACATAAATGTCCAAATCAGTTTTTATTGACTATTTCACTT